GGTGTGTGTGGGTGTGGGGTGTGGGTGTGGATGTGTGGGTGGGTGTGGGTGTGGGTGTGTATGAAGATAACAACCACAGCCACAGCCACACCCACAGCCACAGCCACACCCACAGCCACAGCCACAGCCACAGCCACAGCCACAGCCACACCCACAGCCACAGCCACACCCACAGCCACAGCCACACCCCACACCCACACCCACACCCACACCCACACCCACACCCCACACCCCACACCCACACCCCACACCCCACACCCCACACCCCACACCCCACACCCCACACCCACACCCACACCCACACCCACATCCACACCCGATACCTCAATACCGGTATCGGTATTGGTATTGGTATTGTTTAGTATTGGTACTGATCCGTATTGGTATTGGTATTGTTCAGTATTGGTACTGATCCGTATTGGTATTGGTATTGTTCAGTATTGGTACTGATCCGTATTGGTATTGATGAGTATTTATATTAGTACATCCCTACCTCGTGTGTGACCTATTGCAGAACTATCCTTCAAAAGCACCGGACGCTAAAGCTATATAAATCTTCAATAGCTACAGGCAGTACTATACGGAACACAATGAAGGTGTATGAGTATCTCGATGATATAGAACTTTCGGAACTACGGGTACCACTAAAATCTAGGACATGAGGACCTAAGGAGACCTCCATTATATAGGACCTGATGATCCAAAAGTGTCCCTAAAATATAAGACTTGAGGGCCTAAAGATACCTCCATTATATAGGACTTGAGGATCCAAGGGTACTCCTAAAATATGGGACTTGAGGACCTAAGGGTACCTCTAGGATATAGAACTTGAGGACCCAAGGGTACCTCTAAAATATAGGACTTGAGGACCCAACGGTACCTTCATTATATGGGACTTGAGGACCTCAGAGTACCTGTGGAATATAGAACTTCAACACCTAAGAATATCCTTACGTAGGGTTAGATAAATATCCAGTGATTCACTAGTACCCAGTAGCACTGGGTGACCAGTTTCACTGGGTACACAGGGGCACTGGTACCATTTCTCCAGTTCTGCACTGGCACTGGTGCATCCCTCATATGTTTCGAAAGAGAAATTTCTACTTCCGTCGGATGGCATTGGAAAACGTAGTGTCCTATCGGTTTCCGATAGTGGGATCCGATCAGTTCAGTTCCGTCGTATTTTATCGGCCGACGAGAGTGGGATCCGATCGGTTCTGTCCCGTAGGATTTTGTCGGCCGCCGATACTGGGATCCTATCGGATTCGGAATCCGACAGGATTCCGATGCGTATCCGTTACACGGATTCCATTAAGATTCCTATAGGATCCTGTTGGATCCTATAAATTCCTATGGGATCTGATCGGATCCGATCGGATCCTGTAAGATCCTATGGGATCCGATTGTCGGATTGGTGGACCTGGGTGACGCATGATGATAGTAAAGCCCACCTAAAGTCCGTTGAGTAAAAAGAAAGTTCCAATGAGAAATAGAAAAGTCCTCTTGCGAATAATAGTGATAATCCATTGAAGGAGGAAAGTCCTTCTGTTAAAAGAAAAGTGACGCATGAAGATAGTAAAGTCCATCTAAAGTCCGTTAAGTAAAAAGAAAGTTACGTTGAAAAATAGAAAAATGCTCTTACAAAAAGTATTGATAATGCAATGAATAGAGAAAAGTCCTTCTGTTAAAAGAAAAGTGACGCATGATGATAGTAAAATCCTTCTGAAGTCCGCTAAGTAAAAAGGAAGGTCCGCTGAATAATAGAAAAGTTCTCGTACAAAAAATAATGATAATGCATCGAAAAGAGAAAAGTCCTTCTGTTAAAAGAAAAGTGACGCATAAAGATAGTAAAGTCCATATACAGTCCGCTGAGTAAAAAGAAAGTGCCGCTGCAAAATAGAAAAGTCCTCTTACACACAATAATGATAATGCACTGAAAAGAAAAAAGTCCTCCTGTTAAGAGAAAAGTGACGCATAAAGATAGTAAAGTCCATCTAAAGTCCGATGAGGAATAGAAAAGCTGGGTATGCTATCAGTGTGGCATAAATTTGGTGTTCTTTTGATTGACTAGTAAAGTCCTCGTATTCGCTAGCGGATTTTAGGTAAAGTGGACAATTTCAGGGTCTTTAACAGCCCTTGGGTACGACGAAAAAAGCCGTCCAGCGATGTTCTCTGGTTGAATATTATCAAAGATGACATGAGTCATTCATTTTGTTGTTCGTTCGTTGTGAAAGAGCTGTGAATTACGTTTTCGTAATTGCACCACGCCAACGTCATTTACAACATGCTTTGGTTTTATCCATCACATTGATGTGGGGTTTTTTATTTCAACCTAAATAAATTATTCTCAAATTCGTTTATTTCAACATTGATTTGATTCCGACATTGTGATGGAAACTTCTGCTGCTAAATTTATACCACCATCTGTACCGAGAGATTCCGAAGGGTACGTGAAGACTTTTACGCTCTCTAATTGTGAAAATCCAGAAGTACATGAGGCGCGCGAATTTTTTGACAAATTCGGCTTTGTAGTTATCGTCAATGTCTTTACTTCTGAACAGTGCGCCAACACTATTTCAGATATTTGGCACGTTATTGAATCTTCTGCAGGACTATCTTTACGAAATAACGAGAAACTGTGGCATCCAGAGTACGTCTTGCAACATGTTTTTACGTCTTTTCCTTGTATATGCTTTCTATTGTTTTAGAAATTGGAGGAAAACAGGGCTTGTTCAAGAAGGTATTATTGGTAGTGCAAGCCTCTGGACTCGACAAATCTTGCTTAATCGCCAGACGCCAGCTTTACATGCCGCTTTCGCTGCTATTCTACAGACAGAGAATCTGCTAGTGAATCATGATCGCTACGGAATGTTCCGACCTGTCAAAGAGCATCCAGAACGTGCAACTATGACTAATCTTCATTTGGATATGAATCCATGGAGTTATTTCGAAGGTTTGTTTTAATCCCATTAGAGTGCTTGAGAAATATTGTCATGTTCATTTGACTACGTAGATAAGGACAACAGTGAACAGTTCGAAGTTCTCAATCAGTTACGCTATCGTTCAGCCAGTGATTGGATTACAGAGAACAATGAACCTGGATGTGCTGCTATTGGAGAGCTTCATGTGCAAGGTCTGGTCAATCTAGCTGATAATCAGGAAGAAGATGGTGGCTTTTGGCTTGTTCCTGGATTTCACAAATATCTGGAACAATGGACACATGAACATCAGGCATTGAGTAATATTTATGGACGCTGGAATCGATTCAATCTCTTCAGAGAAGGTGATATTCCAGAGTTGTATGCCGCTGCTTGTCACATCTCTAGTCGAGCCGGCTCAGCTATTTTATGGGATCAACGCATCATGCACGGATCACGATCGAACTGCAGTCTTCGACCTCGATATGCTCAATTTTTCAAGATGTTTTGTGCCGAACATCCCGCCATGACTCCAGAAAGAGCCGAACGCCGTCGCGAGGCAATACTGGCCAAGCTCAAACTTGTAAATATCGATCCAGAGGTGGATCTTAGCCCAATGGGACGCAAGCTTTTCGGACTTGAAAAATGAATTCAGTGAACTGTATCTTGATTATTCTGAAAAGATATCCAATAATATTACAATAAACAATAACGCTGTCCATAAGAATTTTAGTAAAAACTCAGCAACCACTAATGCTGATAATTCTTTTTACCTATTCTCTCTAGCATTCATTCCCGCGTGTGTCTGAACCGTTCACTTTGTTTATATTGTCTATTCGTTGTTAATGTATAGGTGTTCTAAACATCAGTTCAATTATTCACATGAATTCAGAAAAACAGACAAACTATTGAAGGTTCTAAACGACTTGTCCACGTAACGCCACACTTGGGGTGACCAAGTTTTGAAAAACATTTTTTCGAGTTGGATAGATTTCAATGAGTTATTAGATGTAGTTTTTAACGCTGATCAGAGATGGGATCGGTTGGCATTTTTTCCTAACCGAACCGATCGTAACCGAAACAATTGCTAACCGAACCGAATGTAACCGACCGAAGTTTAAAAAATTTTCAACCAAACCGATCGTAACCGACCGAATTTTTTTTCTAATGTTCAGTTAGAAAAAAACACCTACTCAACGGCCCAAGCAGACAAATATTTTCATAAATGCGTGTAAACGCATGAAAAAGTGACATAAAATTGTAAAAAGTGGACATTTTTTTGCTCACAATCGCGGTTCCCAATTGTGAGCGAAAAACACCTATTTTTGTCCTTTTTGTGCGTTCACACGCGTTTTCAGCGAAAACACGATCGTAAAAGCGTACAAACGCATAAAAAGAACACGAAA